TGTGAACATTTCTCAAGAACAGCGAGGAATGAGGTGGTTCTTGTCCGTCACTTGTCAGCAATAAATCTTTGTGGCCAGGAAGCAGACGTAAGAATTTCAACCCTGAACGGTGACCTAGACCTTGCGGATTAAGTCTGACGGTCTGGCTGTTGTGTGCTGCAGTCCCAGGGAATGTGGGCAGTCTCGCCGAGTATCACATTTACCCGCGTGATTTCACATTCATGTACCGTATAAAAGGTCTGACATGACGAGGGGCCTTTCCTATACCGTGGCTGGGTCTAATCACTCAGGCTTGTGAGAAGCGACGTCCAGGGATTTGAAATGTGGATTAAATCGACTTCCACTGACGGCCTGTAAAGGTGTAGAAATCACTTGACTTTTAAACAGGTCCGATAATTAACATACACATGTAATTGTCATGTGATCCTCCAGCAGAATGTGTAGGCCTAACGCCGTGGCTCAGGATAGGAGCAGTTGACGAATGAATAACCTTCAAGTTTTAAGGTTTGCTGTAATGTGGGCGGCGTGCCTGTGATGTGCGGGTATTTTTGGCGCACTCCGCCGTATAAATACACAGGTGATTCATGTTTATCAATCGGTGGACAGGTTGCGCCTTTTGTCGCTCGCTGCGTGATACCTTCCCTGGCTCTGTGCCGGCAATAACGACCGCCCGAAGAGCAGTTGTTCCCCGGGACAAAGCCGCCCCGCCGTGGCCCAACCGCCATAGTTTCCGGCCAGGTTTGAGAGTGTTCCACCCCGTGGCTCCCTGTTGCCAATTCACGCTCGTGGTCTTTCTCTCTCTAGTGGCCCCTTCGGCCTTCATAAGTGTAGGACCAGTGGCGTGACTTTAACGACGCCAATTTGATGTTCAAGGAATTTGCTGTAAGGATATCCAAAAACCCCGTTTGGCGTTGAGATTGGTATTGGCAATATGAGTTCGTTCTGCTATAATTCCGCACCAGAGTGCCACTACACGGTTCTTTCACAATGAGCCATTTTTTAGATAAATGCCCAGCAGTGACGTATCTGGGGTATATTTTGCAGGGAGGGGAGCACTTGGGGACCCCCATTTTCTGGAGGGGGCACTCAATGGGTTCACAGTTAGAACACCGACCAAGGCAGATCACCAGATTGTTTCCATTGCCAATGTCTGAGTGGGACATACGGGGAGACACAGGCCTGGATTGGGGAGCGTAGCGCCCCCCACCCCAACCCCAACCCCAGTTACGTCACTGTTGCCCAGACTCATTTTGATGGCTATTTTCCCCAACTTGAACACATCGGTGACCTTGCTAAAGGCCATTTAGCTTCAGGGTTGTCCTGTTGCTCATGGTGTGCTATGAAGACTACAGTGGGAGACCTCTCCTTTCCATTTGTCTTCTGGCCAAAGTACAAGAGATAATGTCAGACATACCCCATCCACATAACAAATGTTACAGGTTCAATCCTTCTGGGATTCGTCTGCACCCCCACTCACACGTCGGCTTCGATACAGACAGTCATTTATTCCAAATTAAGTCCACTGTTATAATGCAAATGTGAGACGGTAACTATTTATTTGGATACCCCCCCCTCCTCGACACACTTTCATTGGCCAAAAGGGTGAGAATATGCAATATCACGTAGGAAATTATTATCTTTGTAGACTGTGGTTGCCATTTATATTACTATGCAATCTTGTTGCTCTGTTATTGAGTGTAATTGTTATATTGATGAATGCAATAACTTACTGTTTGCAGCAGGCCAATGGAAACTAAATTTCTATGTGAATTTTTGCATGGACAATAATAAATTTGAATCTTGAATCTTGAAATCGCTGCTTTAATTTCCTTGGCACTTAGTGGACGCCGTCGTAATTTCGGTTTTTCATATTACCTGTTACCGGTACATATAGTTTGGTAACCAGGAGAGAAATTTATCCGCAGCATTTTACTGCTGATAGGCCTAGTGCACCTGTCTCCCACATCAGACAATGGTAAGCATGCGACGGTGAATCATGCACTTGTCATCTTTGCTACAGATCGTTGCCATATCCTTGGCTTGATGAAAATCGTCAAGGCGAGATAAGAGTTAGGTCCTCACAATTGTCTCATTGGCTCAGAAATTATGAATTGGCCGTGGAATCACAGAGGAAGCTTTTAAGAAGTTGATAAACCCACCCCTTGCTGCCATGGCTTGCAGTTTGTAATTTGAAAGCGGTCCCGTTGCAGTAAAAAAATTCCAAGTCCAAATTGAGGAAATGTATGATTACACAAGCACTGTAGCGTCATCAATTATTAGTAACCAGCCAATGGAAAAAGAACTTGAACTTGTACAGAACTAGCTGGAATGAGTCAAGACCATGTTCAGCTGACTGACTTCAAGGACACAGCAGTACCCGTCCGCGTTAATAGGCCCGTTGAGACCTCACTCTGCCGAAGTCTCGTAGACGCCAGTTCGTAATAAGTTACCGTCGAGCCACCGCGAGCTCGCTGGGAACTCCCGGGACCCGCAAGTGCTATTGACCTCGGCGGCCGGCTCCCTCGGAACCCGCTGTCTTGTGTGCATGATTCGTGCCTGTGACAAATAGTGCGCTTGTGCTTTACGGGTAATGGTCAGGAGGACTACTTTGAGTGTACGTGCGCGTATCGCTGGTGAGTAAAGTGATCACGAGGGAGATTTGGGACGGGTTAGGCAGCGGCAGGCCCGCCGCGGTTACTCTTAAAGGATTTAGGCAAAACTCAGCCCATTTTATTTTTATTCACTAACCTTGGGTAGGGTTGGAAGCAGCAATGCAAGAGAAACGTGGACAATGAATTCTGTGAAGAAATCTATGATCCGTGGGAGAGAATGTAGGCCGAAAGATGCTTTAAATGTGGCGTGATTGATTTTCCCAATGTAAGGGTAGTGAAACTGAGCTGATCACCATTCCTCAAATACCGCCAAGTGTTCATGAAAGACCTAGTTTCATATGGTTCGATGTTCAAAATCTCACGCAGCCATAAGAGTCCGGTTTTTGAGTCGTTGTTTTGAATATAAAAAAACGATATTGTCCCATAGTACAGGTGCGCTTTGCAATTTACATCTCATTCAACACCATTCATCGTTCTACCTATAGGCAAACTTAAATGGCTTTTTATTGTATTAAAAAATGTATAACTAACTAAGGCCGTACCCGAAACGGGCTTCCAGAGCTACGGCTAGGTGTATTGTCTGGGCGTCTCCACGTACTTTCAACGGAGTAAAGACCTAGACCTAGCTCTAGACAACAGATCCGGATGCAGCCTGAACTTACTACACTAAACCGCGGTGTATTGATGATCAGTGCCCCTTTAAGAAGAGTGAAAACTGATATTGAAATATAGCTTCACACACCCTAGTTGATGATCGCTAGATACCAGACTTGCAACAACCCTGGACGGGTCGACATGTGAGGTCCCCCAACCCCTCAGAAACCAGACTTGTAGAACGATTAAGGGGTCGCGACGTTCATTTGGGATATTATGTGATAATCAAATGGCACTTAAGCCCCACATGGTAGTGGGTTTTTTTTCCTACCAATTTTTTTTTTCTTGTTAGGATGGCGGGAGTTGGTTGCCCGAGTCTGAAATGCTATTTGAGGAGGACAGATGAAGACCTGAGAAGCGGGCTAATGAAGTTAAGGTCCTCACTGCTGGATCCGGACAATTTGGGTCAATGCACTCGGAGTCTTGGTTCAGTTAGTGACTTCTCATTCCCAGGCTATCATTTTTTTATTGTCTGAATGAAGATGCACTTTTTGGATATTTGTTGGCAGTCACTGAAATGTTTTGCTTGAATTACGGGGGTGTGGCATTGGAATTACCTTTTGACTTTTGTAATAATTCAGTACGGTGGTGTGAAGTAAACCCTAGGGAACGCCATTTTCAAAAGAGGATGAAGTCTTAAAAAGTGTTAGCTACAATTTGAAAACCGCTAAGTCTCAACACATCCCCTTTACCCTGGATCTTGTGCATAGTGTGCTTTTCTGATTTCTGTATAAATGAGCATATTTATTGAACATGACATCTTTGAGATACTGCATCCCCCCCCCCGATAACTCTGCTTTCTGCGTTTTGGGTTTATTTCCCGTCAAATGAGGCCTTCCTGTTTTTACCAAAGCTGATAAGTTCTTACACAGAGCCATGTGACGGAGACCCATGAATGTTGGCCAACAAGAGGCTAAAGGCCGGGTGCATTGACACACCATGCCTAAGCCCCAATTTTAGCTCAGTAACCGGGCCGTCCAATGTAGGACATACCCTGCGGGCCGCGGAGCACAGCAGACCTCTGCTATAGTTCCCGGATCCGACGAAAATCCACTAAATTTAGGCCGTCGACAGGCCTGTCCCTTCGGTGGCCTAATCTCCCTCCTCACCGAGTCCAGAGGGTTACCTAGTCTAGTTACGGGCACCGGCTTCTTTACCTAGTTTTCCAGAGGCAGCCAGGCCGTCTGACTCAGACATTTTACCGGAGGGTTTGGGGCTTTGCACGGTGATTGTCCGCTCTCGTTGTCTGGACAGCTTGATAGCTTTAACGTCTGATGGTGTCCTGCCACAGTAACCCGAAAACAAGTTACAAACCAGGGTGCCGAGTGGCCTGAGTGGCTGACATCAAAAGGAGGTTTTGATGGGGGCTTTGGCATTTAGCAACCTATTGCACTAATTTGAATTTCCCGCCAAATATTTTGTCGTTATACCTGTTGATGAAAGGTCAAATATAAACTGTTAATGTTTGCTAACTTCTGTCCCATTAAGTCTAATATTCGGAAAGGACAAGCCCGAGGCATAATGGCTGCAGAACTGTCTTTGTAAATATTCCTTAATTTTTAGTATTTTTGAAAAAAAGAACTTAAAATGCCCTCAAGTTATTTTATTTTATGTACACCGTTGTCTATACCATGACGTATTGACTGCAGTATAGACATGAAGGGAGTTCAGTATACAATGCACGCATTTTGCACATGCATGTGAAATACAACCTTTTTTCAACTCCCTATCCAGGCAAACTACCAAAATGGCTACAAGGTAGCCTTATCCGGAACGGACCTGGTCTCTTCGAAGTCGGTGACACCTCCTACCAACACTGGTTCGACGGCCTGTCCCTCCTCCACCGATTCAGCTTCGAAAAGGGCAAGGTCACCTACCAGAACCGTTTCCTCCGTAGCGATGCCTACACCAAAGCCAAAAAGTACAACAAGATCATCTACGGAGAATTCGGCACCATGGGCATCCCAGACCCTTGCAAAAACATCCTCGAGAGGTTCGTCAGTCACTTCATCCCCGTTAGTACTACCGACAACAATCTGATCAACCTCTACTGGATCGGAGACGAACTGTACACCGCTTCTGAGACCAACACGCCGATCAGAATCAATGTCAAAGATCTCAGTACAGGCCCAAAGGTAAGCTTGACCGTAGACCAAAACTTGAAAATAGGCGACGATCTTTCCAGTCTTCCATTCCTTGAACTTTGTGCATAGAACAGTAATGATCATTTTGTCCTTAGCCGGTGACATAAACAAAATGTTTTCGCCTTTTTTATCTTTGTATCGCAGATTGATTTGTTTGGTGCGTTTTGGACCATGACCGCTACTGCGCATGGGCAGGTCGATCACGACGGGACCACGTACAATGTAGGCACGTCATATTTCACTGGATGTAATTATAACATTATTAAGTTCAACCACAAATGTAAAGGTGAGTGTCTCGTAAAATTCCTATTAAATCAGTTGTCAGGGTCTTTATTACAAAGGTGTTTATTGTAATATATTTTTTCATAATCAAGAAATCCCATCGAAAGAAAACAAGACATGTATTATACTGCGTACATGTATTTGATTAGGTAATTTCGCTCGTCACAAATGTGGAGCAAATTATATAATGTTAGAAGTAATGAAATTCTTGGTGTAACTTCCGTACTGTCTGAAAAGTTTTCATATACAGTACGTACATGTAACTCATGGCAACAACTCTGTTTCTCTCTGCTGACAGAGGATCCCACCAGGTCTGCCAAGATCGTATGCACCATCCCAGCCCGCTATAAGACCCGTCCTTCCTACTACCACAGCTTCGGCATGACGGAAAACTACTTCGTCTTCCTGGAGCAGACCCTTTTCATCAACGTTCCCAAACTGGCCACCTCAGTGCTCCGTAAGATCCCCGTTTGTCAGACCCTGGAGTACGACCCGACAGACACGTCTCTCTTCCACGTCATCCAGAAGACAACCGGGGAGATTCTCCCTATCAAGTTTGCGGCTGGCCCGCTCTTCGGCATGCACATCGTCAACTCTTACGAGCAGGACGGGCAGATTGTCTTTGATATCTGCTGCTTCCCGGATGACTCGCTCATCAAGAAGTTCTATCTGGAGTATCTGAGATACGGAGACCAGCAAGGGAAGAGAAACTTTCCTCGTGCCCAGGTGCGGAGGTTCGTCTTGCCGATAAACATCGACCAGGTGAGAACGAAGGTTGAATGCTGAACGACAAGTGGTGCCAATTCCGTATTGGAGGATTTATGCAACCGTTATTCGTGCCAATTCATGATTAATGTCAGCCGATTTTGATCTCTAAAATCTCTCAACACGGTATGTTCGGAAGCAGTTGTAATTCTCTTCTTGGAAGAGCCCTCTGGCTTGGATCTTTGCCAGGCCACAGAGCATGGAGTGGGGCCAATCATGCACAGTAGCACTCAAAAAATATCCCGGAGTTGTAAAAATAGCTGTGCGACGAGGTTGCATCTGGGTTTGCTATCCTGTGGTTTGAATGGTAGAATGATTTTGTCCACTTGTGCACAACTTTCTGAAACGGTTGTTTTGTATTTACAGAAGACAACCCCTCGCGGAGTTAACCTTGTATCTCTTCCAAACACATCAGCAACAGCAGTACTCCAAGACGATGGCGTCATCTTCTGTAAATACGACATTATTTCGCCAGTAGGTGAGTAGTCAGTCCTGCGCTTTACAATTGAGCACTTTCGTCTTGCCTAAGACCTCAGAAACCACATGCAAGATTTTGGCGCATGCAGACGTTGCACAATTCAATCAACACAGAAAATCTAATGGTGTTCATGTTGAAAATAGCTCATCATGATGAACCGAGTCGGTTGCAGTGTGAAGATTTTACCAGTGTTAATAGTCTAATTGACCTGGGTCAAACTCTCACCACAAATGAAATGTGTCTGCAGCTGGTCAGGTGCATTGATCGTTGAAAATGCTGAACAAAACTTGCTGTCTTTTATTTTATGTACAGGCTTTGACATGCCAAATATTAACCAACGTGTCAACGGGCGACCGTACAGATATGCCTACGGGAACTGTAACAGGGAAATTGGGGAGTTTGTAAACACCGTAAGTCCAGAATCTTATCTTTTCTTGTGATTTTCGATTTGTGTTACTGATATTTAAGGAACCAAAGTAAAGGAAGGGGCTAACAATTAATGGTTAATATAGAGCCTGATTTCATATTGGTATTAAATGTTCCGCCAGTATAAATTGGACTATATGAATATAGAAGGCCTTTGTTAAAGTTAAAATGACAGTTTACGCTAATCTTTCTCTCTTTCTTTGTTTTATTTTTCAGATTGTTAAGGCAGATGTCAAGACGAGGAAGACCCTAGTATGGCATGAGGAATTTTGCTATCCGTCCGAGCCTGTTTTTGTCGAAGCTCCCAACGCAGTGAAGGAAGATGACGGTAAATATTTCTGACCGAAGACACTTTTGTCAAAATAGCTTCTCGACACAATTTGTTTTGTTGGTTTCGTGTTTGATTGCACTATCCAGTGTCTGTGCATTACTGAGTTTGCAACTTGTCATTCAAATTAAATTGAGTCCTTCATTTCACTTCTCTTACCACGTTTAAAGATGCCATAGTTGACTGTCGTTTCAGCCCAGTTTCAGTTACGTCCAAATTGAGAACTTTTTTTGTGTATATTCCCCTTTTTCCTCAGGTGTCATTCTTTCAAGCGTTCTCAATTCGCAAACGGGCAGAGCCTTCCTACTTGTTCTTGATGCCAAAGACTTTAAGGAACTTGCTCGTGCCAATCTACCCGCGGATGTCGAGTGTCCCCTATCATTCCACGGCCAGTTCATACACTGAGGACCCCACTCACGTCTATTCTCGGTACTGCCTCAGCAAATGATCACCGATTCGAAGTGTCCACCTGCGGGGTGTTTTTGTACTACTTGGCTGTCCGTACAAACTTCCATCTCTTCTGCCGGAATGATGGAATGCCTCCTCGTGCTTTGTTCAGAGCAAGTGATAAGCCCTGAAATATAGGATAATTTGGGACAAACTGTTTAGCACGAGCTACGGTTTGGTCTGAAAGACAGTTAACGACTGACGGGGGTTTTCTGAGACGAGTAACCCGACTACACTTTTCCTAAAACCGTAAGTGACCAGAGTATCGGACTGTGTCGTGTCGTGTCGTGCCGTGCCATGAGGTGCCCCTGTTGCCCAGAGCAGGATGACAAACACTTCTGAAATAGGTCTACTGACCACAAGAAATTGTGACTTTCACTGAAATAGTCGGTGTCATGGGGGTAGGCACCGCTGGGCCTCGCCACTCACCGTGCCAGGGTTGGCAGGCGCTATTCACCGCCCATCATTCCCGCACCAGCCCGCTGCTTCTGATCGCGGTGGACTTTGACTCGAAACACGTGTACCTCAACCGCACCAGGAACCAATGTTTTGGAGTTTCTGAGCGCAGAAAATAAAACGGCAAAGAAAAGTGTGGCTTGGCAAAAATGACCAGCTATAGTGTCTGCAGCTCGCGACTTGCCACCGTCATTTCTGAGCTGGATATTTCCGTTGAACAGCTCCATGAAATTGATTCCAGTAATCCACTACTTGCGTAGTGTCCTGCTGGGTCTTGTTCCCTTGATCATAGCAATGAAAACCACCGCTTTGTGTACTACCAGCAAGGGAGCAACCAGTCTGTGGGTCATAGACTCTACTCTGAAATAGTCAACACCAACGGAATATGCCCTGCGGTGCTCAGCACCTCATAGTTTCGGTCCACGAAACATGAAAAGATATTATTCAGTCGTTTTGATATTCCTACAACAAAACCAACGGGTGTAATTCCACAATATTTGTGGATTGCAAAAACATAGTGTATAACAGCAAATACTATCATTTTGCTGCTGCAGAATTGCTTTTTAGTCATGTGCAATATTCGTTTTAATTAGTGAATTTTTTTTAAATATCACTGCCAAAACACATAAATTCAATTAGGAAAGTGGTTATCAGCTATGTCGTTAGTCAAACGACGAAATTATTTTAAAATAAAATTGTTAAGCAGGGTATCGGCCCTTTAACGATGTACAGAATGCTATAAATGCTTATGATGAACTAGCCAAGCGATAATGCTTTGGAGCTTTGTTCTGAGGTTTTGCAGCAAAGCTCACTGGTATCAGTTCATTTTGGCCTCGCCCAAATTTTTTTTAGGTTGGTTGAATGTTGTCCAATTCCTTTTCTGCGAGGAGGGCGCCTGCACACTACCCCTTCCAACAGAACTGAGCTTGTGTATTCGGGAAGACACTAGAGCAAATTTCAGAGCGCTCTCCACTGTCTCCAGTGTAATTCGAAGTATGAATTTTCTGAGGTTTGTCTTGTATTGTGCTGTTAGCTTTGCAAGCTTCTTGCCTAAGCATGAGGTTATCAAAATGTTCAGCAGTGGAATACCTCCTTAGGTTGTGTATAAACTACTACATGGAGCCTTATCTTATTTATTTGCAGATATAACATATTAACCAGTAAGGCAAAGTTTAAAACTACGTGTACAAGAACATGGTGACACAATATGTAAACACTGCTTTCAAGTGTTTATTCTTTTGAAAGGGTTATTGAAAACAACCAATGAAAAGTTGATTTTCAAGATCTGTCCTTTTTTGTTAAACGGGGCAGATTTTAACCCTAACAGTCGTCAATCTTTTCAGTTTCAATGATTTTTACATACAACCTAGGGGTTGGGGCTGAATTGCGATTCGAAAAAAGCAGGTCATAAATGTTTTTATAAATCTCATTAAGATCTCACGTATTAGTCCTGGCGGTTCCCAACTAAAGTTCTGCTTTGGAAGTACTTTTTCAGACAAGGCAGAGTTGCCTAACGAAATTTGCCCCACGATTTTGTTTCTTTTCCTTCATTGATCATTCCACGTCCGGTGGAATATGAAATCTGTGTGACGTAGGATTAGGGCGAAGGAGAAAAGGAGTCATTCAGAAGCTAGCTAAGAGAACTCTCGTATATAGGCCAGTATACATGCGGAGTGCTTATTTTGTGTTATTTATTTCAAAAATATACAACACTTGATGAACTTTTATGCTGCGAATGGGTAACGGATAGTGATTGGTTATAGCATGTCCACGATAAAATAGTTGTATAATTATGTCTTCCTGTTTTACTAATCATGTAACATGCTGCATATAATTATAGCCATAGGTTATCAACGGTGATGTCCGTTAATTTGTGTCTTTTTGCAGAAATATTGTCGACACGGTACGACTTACGGTCCTAGTGTTGCCAGGGTAATTACCAAATCGTGTCTTACTTTGCGAAACCCCACTTTACAGGAGAAGTATTATTAATTTGATGGGAAAGGTTGATTTCCAAGGCTTCGATGTAGTGACAGAAATTCGAGCATTTTTTTATTTCATAGGTCGAGCAACTCATTCATCGTGGACTAGCCTTAAATATTTTCTTTAATATGTAGAGAAATCGTGAAAAAACTGAATGTTAATCGCTCCATTGAGGAAGCTACAAAATAATGCAAAACTTTTTGCGTCCAACATCTGTATTTACTTTTCCGATAGCGTTGATTAATTGCCATTGATAATGACTCTGTATTGCAGAGGTCTTTTATTTCTTCTCTCTGAGAAACGGTAATTTATTCGTCATTGTTTTCTGTAAAGTTTAGAAGAACAAAGTTCAAGTTCATCACAAGAAGACTGGGCAAAATCGATGTGCTCGATGAAAAATATGTCACTGAACTTTGCCAGTACACATTAAAGAACACCATTGTTGTGTCAAAAAGAAACCGGAATTTTCAACTTTTGAAGTTAATTCGGGTGGTTTTTGCAGACGGCACTTTTGAAAAACAGAAATTAGTTCTGTAGAGGTGTCAATAAAGACAAACTATTACGCCATATTTTACAGATTCCTAACTGAAGGCCTTTTAATGAATTGGAACAGGCAAAGATCCACGTGCCTTATAAATTCGGAGAAACTGTAGGTAAATAATTAAAGCTATTTATTATTCTGAAATAACACTGCCTCAATATCTAATTAATGCCCGCAGTAAGAATGAGCGGACATTTTTATTTTTATCGATACCGTCATTGATATAGTTGGACAATAATATGAATTTGTGAATTAACTTTATTGGTATAGCATTTCAAAAGGACTTTATGCAAAATTCGACCACCGGTGACCAACGTTGTTTCATTCGGTAGAATCTGAGTTTTGAAAAGGTGTCTCAATGCGTCTTGTATATAAACACTTTAAATTATTTACATGCTTTTTTGTCGATATATTATCAATAAATTTGTATCGAAACCAAATAGAAACTTGCGTCCGTTGTCTGCTTCCTAGCCAGTTCTAGGCCTACCACTTCACTAGCAAACTTCATGTAGTTCGTAAAAAGTGTCACCAGTAAGTGATTTACTGTCATGAAACCAAGCCTTTTACTGTACTTTCCCCTCCCCGAAGAAAGCCACAAAGTTATCTTTACTCTAACCTCAACATGTGTGCTTCCTTTTTTTCACAATTCCGCAAGTGTTCCGATAGCTCCCGCCACATACACCAGATTACCGTCACATAACGCCGTCAAGGCCAACGCGTGTCAAAGGTCAAGTTCGAGACTACAAAGGGCGGAGCCCGGGATGGCTATTAGATTTCAAGGTTGGATGGCGGTGTAAATCTCTTTATACGGCAGATGGAGGGAAGATTTACGCCTTTTTGTGTGTGGAATCGCCAAATACCCGCTGTTTGGGGCGTAAATTTGTTTACCAGTCCTGATTGAAGACACAGCAATTCTTAACCAATCTCACTTAATCAGAATTCCAATCTAACAATACCTTTTCTTCCCACTTTGTGGTTACTCGCACAGCTTAATTCTTCTGAATCGGTTGCCACAACTGACTCCCACCACTTAAGTCTGAATGGGATTCTATTGTAAGTAAAATATTCGCCAAATGAGTTGTATGTCCAAAGAACAACCCGCACGTGTTGTAATGTTGAGACTGGAGACTTGCCTTTTGTACTGCATTTTGCACTGACTGTACGGGGAGCGAGACCTGCTGCAGAGAGCGCGCCATTTTGAAAACCAGAGCCCGCAACGGTACGGTAAGCCATTCTCTCATGTTTCGTAAAATTGCAATGTGAATCGAGACATCTTGGTCAATGTTGCGACTTGAAGTGTCTTTGAGACGTATACTTCGAGAAATTCAAAATCACCCTACTTAATTGCGCATCGCCCTGAGGAATAGCCTCAGGATTCATACATCGTGTAAAAGCATATGTACATTGTCCAAGCAAAATTCCCGGCGCACAACTTCGCAAGTACAGCTCTGCTTCATTGTCAGTCAAGACATTAAAAGGTAAGCATTGCAAAGTTTCAGTGCCAAGGTTAAGGGTCCTTGTTGTTGGATTTATTTGAGTTCAGAGGTCAAATTGGGTCATGGCGCAAAACCACACGTCACACGATGGACTTGGTCGTTACTTGTTGGGTACAGTGGAGGTTGAATTAAGAAAATATTTGACATTTCAACATGCAACACTAAAACGGGCACCATTTTCTCTACCTTGTATTATATACAATATCGACTGGTTTCTTAAGATAAATTGTGGCGCGTAAGTAGGCCTAAAACCTGCTGAATAATTAAGCCGTTTGGCTTTTTTTTTCAAACTTTCTTCATTCATTTAGACACAGGATACTCGGATGTTTTGAGGTAAAGTAGAGCCAGTCTAGTGTCTGGTCAGCAAAAACCGCTCCTCTCGTGGGATTGCCGATCTGTGAGATTTTTCAGGGTGGTGGAGGGGGGGGGCTTTCCTTAGATTCCAGAAATGACGAAACAGTCAGATTTATTGAGGAATGTACTCATTATCAACAGAGCAGTAAGTCTTCTTACATGAAGCATGTGCAGGAATTTAGGACAGGAGAAACACTGAGGTGTTTTAATGTGTGTTGTTTATGACTACTGGGTGTCAAGTTTGACGGCAAGAGCGTCAGTCGACAAGCACCTGTTGCTGTAGGTCTCTACGCGTGTGGGCTTCGGGTGGGTTTGCTCTTTGTCGTATGGGAAATCCAGGGTAGTCACAAAGGGGAGGCAGGCGTGAAGGAGCGGATGCGAATTCCTAACACGTCAAGATATATCCTTTCCAGTCAAAATATACAGGCAGTGGCGTGGTTAAGGGGGCACAGGTGCACGCCCCACTCCCCGCACGTGGCCTGCCCCCCCTGAATTTACAGAAGGAAAGATCTAGTGAAATTCCGCCTTTGTCAGTTGTTAGCCGTGTCCGAACCCATTGAGTGTCCCCTCCAGAACGCGAGCCTGGAGCCCCAAAATGTCAGTCCCCGGCAACTGAAAATGTACCCCTGTTTCGCCAACCCGTCCTTTATGACTTTACTCACCATGCGTAACAAATTGACGTTGTCGGTGCATGATAGAAGTCGCTCCTTAGGTCCACTTGACCATTTACCTGATGTCCCATGCACAGCAGTGGCGTAGTCCAGGCGGGAAGGGGGAGGGTAAGGAGGCAACTCTCCCCGGAAATGTCCCCCAGTGCCCCCCCCGGAAAATTGGGATGGGGGCGTCACACGTTATCTGTAGTGTGTTGAGAAGCATTAGCCTACTTTAGTGTAAGCATTGATCTGTATCGCAAATTTGTTCATTGTAAAAAGTCAGAAACGTAGCCGGGGGGAGGCGCATGGGGACAACTACCCCATGTGGAAACTCTTGCCCTCCACCGAGCCTTGCCACACCCCTGGTGCACACATCATGTGCACGGAATTAGAGCGATGGGGTTTTCCCCGATTGTACATGTTCAGTCATTTATTTAAACCTGGTCGTTCCGTATGTGCAAGTAAATCTGCTGAAACAGTGGGCAAGAAACAGGCCTGCAATTGAGAGGGGTGGGAATCCGTGGATTTCCGTATTTCTAACCTTTTGCAGATTCGCTGAAATCGTGTAGGGAATGATAGACGACAAAAACGCGAACCGCAACGACTTTAGTCACACAAACACTGGACGTCAGTCTCTGGTCCGGAATAAAACACTGGACGTCAGTCTCTGGTCCGGAATAAAACACTGGACGTCAGTCTCTGGTCCGGAATAAAACGTTTCATGAAAAAGGATAGGCGTTTATCAACTGCCTCACGCGTGGCTTATCTAACAAAGTGCCTGTTACTTCATACTTTCAAGACGTACAGAAAAAAATCGAATGAGGTTTAGAGGATATGAATTGACACGCCTGTGTCATTTATCAACTGTCCAACTCGGAAACTTATCTAAAACTTGGAGTCGCGTCACTTCATTCCTGATAGCCGTGTTTCGTTATTTTCAAGGTTAGCTGTCAATGAAATCTGCAAGGAGGGCACAGCGTTTCCGTCACTGTGTTACGAAATACAGAAATTTTGTAACGCAGTGAGTAATAAAAGCGGCGTTGATTTCATCTCCTTTTGCTTTGAATGCAGCGAGCGTCTTTTGGCTGTCCGGCTTGGTTTCAGTCGATCCCTCCTCTTGCCTTTTCTTCCAATTCAAATCAATTATCACCAAGTGACTTGATCTAGATTGCCTTAGGAAATAGGTTAATGTGTTGCTAAGTTTATGAGAATGACTAACCAATCTTGATGGGTTGCGATTCGGATATGGAGGCAATCTAATAAAGGGGCTCACGATATTAAAAAAGATATTCCCTCACGTCACCAAATAAAGCAAACATTGTTTTCACTGCCTGGCAACTTTTGCATTTGTATTTGAAATTAACAAACCACAAAGGACACACGCCTCATTGTAGGCTTGTGAGCCTTACATTTTTGGCACTTTTGTAAGGTACATGTATTGTTTTGTCACAACGTTGCTCTTTAGAGATGATAACCAAACGAATACAAACATTACTACTTGTAGAAGGGTCATTCCATTTATCTGGGGTCCAATGATTTTCGTGTCCCTGTCACAACTGACAATTGATTGTGTAAGTTTAAAAAGACAGTCTTTAATTTCTAAGAGTGATTAAATAACGCAAAATATCTTGCCAAAGAAAAACACGAAGCTGTAAGTCAATTACGATGATAGTACCATGTCAACTTCCACAGGTCAGGTGTAACAGGGACACCAAAAGGGTCACACTTTTTGGTCCCACATTTGCAAAATAACCCAGAAGAACAAGACACTTTATCTTTTGTTTAATTACAATAAGACCCTCTATCATTTTTTCTTCAAATATAACTTTTAGGAATGTTTTTACCCAAAACCTCACAGGTAGAAAAATGTAGAAAATTAGGAAAAATGCAGACTGTGAGGCAAATACATTCCCTAGTATCTCTTCAATACTCAATGCTTGACAGACTTTCCTTTAAACTTTAAGTACACTTCATTCTATTGTTTAATTAGATACAAGTGAATACGTTTTACACCTTGCTCCATTAATACTTTCTTCATACAGAACGTTGTCAAAAAAAGAGTGTGATATCACTCACGAACTTGATTTGGAAACGATTGAAATAGCACAAATCGTTTCAGCAACAATGGCTTACCAAATATCTACTTTTCTCGAAGTACCTAATGATTGTTGCTATGTCGACAAACTGTGTCAGACTCATTTCTGAATATCCCTCTTGATTTCTCCTACAGAAACTTAGGTCATCATTCTGGTTTGTATTCCAACCATTCATATGCATAACCTCACTTGAATGCTTGTACCCCGATTGCGAGTGTCAATCTACTGACACAGTTCTTAGAAGAGGAGCTGGAGGACACAAGAGGGAAGAGAGACTCAAGAACAAGTTTAAAGTTGTGGGATAAAGTCAGGTACCTCCCAAACTGGAGGCAGAAAGAAAAAACCTTCCAAAAAATTCTGAAGATTAATACAAAACATCTTGTGCCTATTCCAAAGACTTGCCGAGAACAGCACCTTGTGTCATTCAGCCAGAAAAATAAGACGCAGTAGTCTGTTTCTAGGTCTTGGCTGATCCTTATTTCCTGTCTCTCGCTATCGCTTGGCCATCTTCCCTTTCAGTCTCTGCTTCATGGCACCAATGTCGTCATCCTCGTCCCTTCTTCGCCTCCTCCGTCTCCTTGGAGCTGGGTTAGAGAGGGGCAGTCTAGAGACCCTAGAGTCTGAACCATTCTCTTGAGGGGTTTTCTGCAGTTTCTCGCTCTGGATTTGTTGGAGTCTCACCACATCCGTCCAGATGAGCATACTGTAACCTGGTATAAATACAACAACAAGTGTACATTTTCTATCTATGCTATACATGTAACTATATGTGCCTTATTTCCAAGCTTTGGAATCCGTCATTTTATTTTTGTGTTCTCCAAATACGCCTGACACTTTAATACACCAGAAAATATAATACAGCTTTTGAACGGTAAGGGAGGTGTCGGAGTCACAATACACAATTACGCTGTTCTGAATGTCTATGAAATCTAAAGCTGAAGTTGATTTGATCGTCAATCAGCCCTTTGACTTCCATCAAGAGGCAGAAAGGAATTCAAAAAAACTGGCTGTGAGTAAAACTGGACTTTCAAAACAACCAAACCAATAATCAAAGGGAATCTACAGGGGAGATCAGCTCCAATAGTCAGTAGAATAAAAGTCACACTTACCCATTCCCGATGCAAGGCTATCTCCAGATGCACTGAACTTATTCAACTGGGGGGGGGGATTAAAAAATCCAGCTGATAATTTGTCATTTTATTCGTATTCATGAATTCAGAATAATCTCATCTTATTTAACCTGACTGGTTGAATTGCCTTGTATGATATTCAATTAAAAAACTTTTCATGGAGATGTCCAAGATTTCACTCACGGATATGATACCAGAAACACTGGGGTCCAGTAACTGGCAAACCATGTCACCGGAATTGGCATCAAATACATCAATGGTCCTGCTTTCCTCTTCCTGGTAACTAGGAAAGTTTTCGTCTGGGTAACGACCAACAACCACCAAGTCATAAAGAGGATGCCACGTTGCCTACAGGAAAGAATTGGAAACACTGATGACTAAACAATTTGTATGTGGCTATGGCTAATCACAACAGTGTGTTAAGAACAAGGATGTAGCCAGTAGCATATTACTTGGGAATGACTTGAGTCTTTTTAAATTGCAAACCCTGCCCTTTCCACAAGAGATCTGAAAATCCATTAATCTCAATGATGGTAGAGTTCCATTTTGGATTTGAACAGACGCTTACGAGACTGATTGAAATCAACTTGATGTTTGTTTGTTTATTTTTTTTCTTACCTTGATAGGAGTCAAGTGCTGGAAGAATCGGTGTGGGTGAGAGATGGACCGTTCCATTCTGTCCCACAGGGGTCCTGCATAGATCCTCAACTCCCCATACTGGTCAGTTGTGAGTAATCTTGTACAGTCAGGACTGAAATATGCTGCAAGAAAAAATTATCTTTTACTTTTCAGAACTTTGTTGTCTTACATAATTAGTAACCTGACTTGTCATCCTCTTGGCAATGATTACGTATGATGATGTAGACTTTTGGGACCATCTGACAAATATTTTCAGGTGACTTCACCTCTGCAAACGCTACAACCTACCAGAGTTGATAGGTCTGTTGTGATGAAGTATATAGAGGGCGCTCTTTCGGTCTGACATCATTCTTACATCCCACATCTTGACCATCTTGTCAGTGGAGGCAGTGGCCAGGAGCCAATCACATCGGCTGTTGAATTCACAGTGGGTGGCTTTGCTCTTGTGAAGTCTCCGAGTCCACAGGCGCTTCACAGGGGAAAAAAAGGAAGTTGCCAGGTGTGTCAAGTTGACCAATCAAGAACAGTCTGCGAATTCTACAAATTGATTGAAATCTCTGGTTTCACGTGATTAAAGACAACAAGCTCTTAAGCTTGTGTTCTGCATTCTTCTGAGTTTCTTTAAATATCTCCTTTGTCAGTGAAGCACCCTCTTGTTGAAAATGTTTGAGGGCTGAGGTTTGCAGAAAACACAAATGCAGAAAGCTCTTTTCCTTTGCCAATGATTCTCAAGTGCAATGTAACAGCTTAGCAAAAGTTTGACAACAAGTTTCTCAATTTTACATCAAGAAGTATGTCCTCAGACCGACTGCGACTGGAATTTGCAGTCCGTGCTGCTTTTGCTAATGAAACAAACTTCAATTTCATGGAAGCAACATACTCGTGACTTGACTTGTACCTATCAGTTTTTGACTTGTGACTTGACTTGGACTCGCACATTATGGCTGATGTTTTAGTTTGAAAACGTTGTTCATGAATGTAAAGTGTGTTGAAAAGTTGAAGGTAATTTGCATAATTAGTTACAGAGAATTGCGGTAGCACCATGCTAGGATCTTTGTCTGAGCATGTGTGCATGTGGTTCTGAAAAAACTTCCACCTGTTATCACTTAAGTGATAACAGGTGATAAGAATAATGCATATGCTTAAGTGATATGAATAATGCATATCTTACAATTATTACCAAAATAGTCTGTTGCTGCCCCCAGTCAAACAAAATATTCAAGACCTTCCTGTGTGGTTCGTGTTGCGGATTGTGGAATAACAATGAAATCAAGACTAGAAATCAGAAATGTGACTTGAAATCACACAGATCACGTAACTTGACTTGCACTTGGACAAAATACTAGTGACTGGCTTGTGCTTGGACCAAATT